TCCCGGAATGCACCCTCCCAGCTGTGTGATTGGCTGACAGGGGCAGTACCATGTGACTTCCGGCCATGGAGGGCTCATCCTGAAGAAAGGAAGACAGAGGGGCTGCTGCAGGTCAGTGTAGGGTGTGATGGGAGGGAGGTGTGAAGGGAGGAGGGTGTGATGGAAGGGGGGGAATGGGTGTTGTTTACATTATGGGCGGTCATCTGTAGTTTTACTCATACCCTCCTGTATTGTGTAGACGGGTTTAATGAACGCGTACGTCTGACCTGCTTTCCGCAGATGTTAGCGGTACAGTAGAGAGCAGGTTAGACACCCCCTTAGTACACGCAAGTGGCAGTAGTGCTTGTGCACATGCCGCAATGCGTGCACGGGATCGCATGTAACACATTAGGCGCACGTCACTATTTCCTAATGGCATCCCAACGCAAGAAAAAGGGACGTGCGTTTCTATGGTGCGATTTAGATGCACTCAACGCCCATTCAAATAAACAGGCTTCCCTACAACCAATGCCCCCCCCCAAAAAAAACGGGCTCCCGTACACCCAATGCCCCCCCACAGCCTCTGATTGGGCCAGGAGGGGGGCAGTGGCAGTCACAGTTTTGAGCAGGCTTGAGCTCACACCAAGCCCAGACTCATCTCTAGCTATGGGCAGTGATGGCGTAGACCCTCCTGCCAGTGCGGTGACTGCTGTTGTGAAAATAGCGCGTTCTGGGACATGTGATGTGATCACATGACAAAGGCCGCAATCGGATATTGCTTGCACTTTCCGGCATGGACCTGCCAGCGCTGTAAGACCGGCCATACGCTACTTGACGCTGAAATTCAAGCAGTGCACGGCCAGTCTTTCAGTGCTGGCAGGTCCATGCCGGAAAGTGCCATCCATATGTGTGTCCCCGTTCGCTAGTTTGTGTACGGGGAACTACGGGGAAAAGCCTGAACCCCATAGTTCTCCTTTAAATAAAGACATTAAAGCACTTACCCTGGCAGGGGGTCTACTCTGGCACTGCGAGGGCTGAGTGCTTGTTTTCTCTCAAATAAAGAAGATACACTCACCTGATCCTCGGTCCCGCAGTGGCGCCCGCTCTCTCGCCCTCCGCTCCGGCTGTGGTATGTCTCTCAATGTACTTACGTCTAATGCAAGTCAATGGACCTACATTAGATACGATGATGTCAGCGTTCCTTAGTGTCCAGGGGAGAAGAGGTTGCCGGGACCGGTCTAGCAGGACCGAGGATCAGGTGAGTAGATCGGTTTTATCGTAGGAGTTCTTCTGTCATAACAGTCACCAGAATCCCATTATACATTCCCTTCTATTATTTCTTTAATATTTTAAACCACTGGAATCTTTAGGATCCTAATATAATTTACGTGGGGTGACTTAGGAGAATGATCGCCCTACATTCTGAAGCCCACATGGGCACTCAAGTGACACGAGCGGTGCTGCGTGTAAAGAACTGCTGATACAACGTTGTTTCCTCCATTACTTGTCATGCGAATCGTGATTTGTCTTTCATTCCCCGTAGCTGTTCTGCATGGAATACATCTAATACTACCCATAGACCCTGATGAAGAGATTTGTTCCATCTTTCAATGAACGGATTGTAATTTTGTGTCTTCCTTTTGGGCAATTTCAACTTTTTCCTAAAAGCTGTACCGAGAACATCTGATTGGCTGACTTCCTGAGGATGGATAAGGACCCAAGATATATAACAGAGGTGATACTGAACCTCACTCTGGAGATCATCTACCTGCTGACCGGAGAGGGGAGGAGGATTCTGGGAGGTCACGTGACATCACTCCTAGCTCTATTAATAAAACACAGTCCTGACCGGAGAGGCGAGGAGGATTCTGGGAGGTCACGTGACATCACTCCTAGCTCTATTAATAAAACACAGTCCTGACCGGAGAGGCGAGGAGGATTCTGGGAGGTCACGTGACATCACTCCTAGCTCTATTAATAAAACACAGTCCTGACCGGAGAGGCGAGGAGGATTCTGGGAGGTCACGTGACATCACTCCTAGCTCTATTAATAAAACACAGTCCTGACCGGAGAGGCGAGGAGGATTCTGGGAGGTCACGTGACATCACTCCTAGCTCTATTAATAAAACACAGTCCTGACCGGAGAGGCGAGGAGGATTCTGGGAGGTCACGTGACATCACTCCTAGCTCTATTAATAAAACACAGTCCTGACCGGAGAGGCGAGGAGGATTCTGGGAGGTCACGTGACATCACTCCTAGCTCTATTAATAAAACACAGTCCTGACCGGAGAGGCGAGGAGGATTCTGGGAGGTCACGTGACATCACTCCTAGCTCTATTAATAAAACACAGTCCTGACCGGAGAGGCGAGGAGGATTCTGGGAGGTCACGTGACATCACTCCTAGCTCTATTAATAAAACACAGTCCTGACCGGAGAGGCGAGGAGGATTCTGGGAGGTCACGTGACATCACTCCTAGCTCTATTAATAAAACACAGTCCTGACCGGAGAGGCGAGGAGGATTCTGGGAGGTCACGTGACATCACTCCTAGCTCTATTAATAAAACACAGTCCTGACCGGAGAGGCGAGGAGGATTCTGGGAGGTCACGTGACATCACTCCTAGCTCTATTAATAAAACACAGTCCTGACCGGAGAGGCGAGGAGGATTCTGGGAGGTCACGTGACATCACTCCTAGCTCTATTAATAAAACACAGTCCTGACCGGAGAGGCGAGGAGGATTCTGGGAGGTCACGTGACATCACTCCTAGCTCTATTAATAAAACACAGTCCTGACCGGAGAGGCGAGGAGGATTCTGGGAGGTCACGTGACATCACTCCTAGCTCTATTAATAAAACACAGTCCTGACCGGAGAGGCGAGGAGGATTCTGGGAGGTCACGTGACATCACTCCTAGCTCTATTAATAAAACACAGTCCTGACCGGAGAGGCGAGGAGGATTCTGGGAGGTCACGTGACATCACTCCTAGCTCTATTAATAAAACACAGTCCTGACCGGAGAGGCGAGGAGGATTCTGGGAGGTCACGTGACATCACTCCTAGCTCTATTAATAAAACACAGTCCTGACCGGAGAGGCGAGGAGGATTCTGGGAGGTCACGTGACATCACTCCTAGCTCTATTAATAAAACACAGTCCTGACCGGAGAGGCGAGGAGGATTCTGGGAGGTCACGTGACATCACTCCTAGCTCTATTAATAAAACACAGTCCTGACCGGAGAGGCGAGGAGGATTCTGGGAGGTCACGTGACATCACTCCTAGCTCTATTAATAAAACACAGTCCTGACCGGAGAGGCGAGGAGGATTCTGGGAGGTCACATGACATCACTCCTATCTCTATTAATAAAATACAGACCTGACCGGAGAGGTGAGGAGGATTCTGGGAGGGTCACATGACATCGACTGTCTCATCCCCCTCAGTGCTATGTTTTCCCCGTAATGTCATGCAAAAACCATTGCGTTCTTTAACATGCACAATTTAGGTCTGAAAATAAAGTCCATTTCCCGACCCCTCTACACACAACTCCTGACCCCAGCACCCGACTCCCCCAACACTTGCGGCTCTCGCGCCTTGTCTCTCGTCTCTTGTCTAGTGATCTCTTACCTGACAGCAGCAATATGATCTCAGTTGAGAGAGGCCTTCTGCTGAGCACTCCTGCTATGATAGGTTGTGAGCGTGCAGGAACACACGGGGAGACGCACTGACCGGAGCCTGGCAACTGGGAGTGGCACATCTGGATAAAGCAGCAGAGTTGACCAGGGAATGTTGGCTTGTATGCCCATGTGGAGGCTGTCAGAGGGGTAGAAGCTGGGACTCTCCAAGACTCTGCTCTTTCCCCCACTCTCACCGTCTAGCACCATGGCATCCACCTCCTCATTTCCCCCCCCAATTCCCCCACCTCCTCGTACCGGGTGCTCTCACCACCTGCTTCCTGTCCCACTACTTTCTACTCCACCAACCACCCCATGCTCACCTTACTGGGCCTGCCATCACTACAACACCCCCCAATCCACGCTCTCTCCACCTAACGGTGTCTGCCGCCCCTCACGCTCTTACCATCTACCACCACAACACCCCCTGACCTCACCACCTACCACCATGCTACCTTTACAGACCCCATTCATCGCCGTGCCTTTACCGCCTACCACTGTGTCTTCCAACACCCCACTCTCACCATCACGTGTGCCACCCCCCAACTCTCACCATTTTACACCACGCCACCGCTACAGCCCCTCTTTACCACAGCGCCTGCCACCCACCGCTCTGGTGCTGTTACCACCTATTGCCATGCCTGGAAATTCTTCCACTCCCCCCTCCTACCACCAAGCTTGCCCCTATAATGCCATTTTTATCTTGCTGTGTCCGCCTATAAATTTGCCAGCCTCCTCCCACTGTCACCACCTACCACAGTGCCAGCTCTACACTCACCGTTCACCTCCAACTACTACATCTGCCACCCCCAAGGTTCTCAGCACCCACCATTGTACTTGCCACCCCCAATCCCCCCACCAATTCTCACCATTTACCATTGTTTCTGGCATCACCACAACCCCCCTTTTGTCACATGCCCTTATCTTCTGCCAACACAGTCTTCTCTCTTGCCTGTCCTTGGCTTTTTGTCATCTCCAAAACATTCATGCTATGCTCCTGTGTGAGACCAACCTGTGTTCAGGAGAGCCCAGGGACCTGACATCAACCTCTACAAGCCTCATCTTGCCCCTTCCCTACTTACATACGCCCCAATCCTTTGGCCACCCCTCCACTGACATTACCCCCTAAACCATGCACATGCGCTAATCCCATGTAGTATCCAAAGTCTTGACCTTTCTAACACAGACATACTTTTGCTAGTCTCTAATGATAAAACACAGACTGGAGAGTTTTCACTATCAATAAAAACTAGACCTGACTGAGGAGGTGAGGAGGATTCTGGGAGTGTTACATGACATCACTTTCTGTGCATTTTGAGATGTAATACTAACATGCATTATAATTTAGGATTATGGGCCTGTTGAGAAGTCATCCAATCAGCACGTGAGACTCGGCAGCCATACCAGCATGTCGGAGAGGAACAGAAGTCAAAGCCCCATCATGGAACCTCCGCCCCCGTCCCTGAGACCTGAGAGAAACAAGAAGATTCTAGAGGTCACCAACAAGATCATTGAGCTGCTGACGGGAGAGGTGAGCTGGGAATTCTGGGACATGATCCAGGAACAGAAGGGATGTGTCTGGATGGTGACTGTATCATTGTGTGTGTCAGGTTCCTATAAGATGTCAGGATGTCTCTGTCTATTTCTCCATGGAGGAGTGGGAGTATCTAGGAGGACACAAGGATCTCTATGAGGACATCATGGTGGATGATGAAGAGACCTATAAAGCAATGGGTAAGTGGTGGCCATATATGTGAATAAGACAACATCCCCTTAATAAAACACAGACCTGACCGGAGAGGTGAGGAGGATTCTGGGAGGGTCACATGACATCGACTGTCTCATCCCCCTCAGTGCTATGTTTTCCCCGTAATGTCATGCAAAAACCATTGCGTTCTTTAACATGCACAATTTAGGTCTGAAAATAAAGTCCATTTCCCGACCCCTCTACACACAACTCCTGACCCCAGCACCCGACTCCCCCAACACTTGCGGCTCTCGCGCCTTGTCTCTCGTCTCTTGTCTAGTGATCTCTTACCTGACAGCAGCAATATGATCTCAGTTGAGAGAGGCCTTCTGCTGAGCACTCCTGCTATGATAGGTTGTGAGCGTGCAGGAACACACGGGGAGACGCACTGACCGGAGCCTGGCAACTGGGAGTGGCACATCTGGATAAAGCAGCAGAGTTGACCAGGGAATGTTGGCTTGTATGCCCATGTGGAGGCTGTCAGAGGGGTAGAAGCTGGGACTCTCCAAGACTCTGCTCTTTCCCCCACTCTCACCGTCTAGCACCATGGCATCCACCTCCTCATTTCCCCCCCCAATTCCCCCACCTCCTCGTACCGGGTGCTCTCACCACCTGCTTCCTGTCCCACTACTTTCTACTCCACCAACCACCCCATGCTCACCTTACTGGGCCTGCCATCACTACAACACCCCCCAATCCACGCTCTCTCCACCTAACGGTGTCTGCCGCCCCTCACGCTCTTACCATCTACCACCACAACACCCCCTGACCTCACCACCTACCACCATGCTACCTTTACAGACCCCATTCATCGCCGTGCCTTTACCGCCTACCACTGTGTCTTCCAACACCCCACTCTCACCATCACGTGTGCCACCCCCCAACTCTCACCATTTTACACCACGCCACCGCTACAGCCCCTCTTTACCACAGCGCCTGCCACCCACCGCTCTGGTGCTGTTACCACCTATTGCCATGCCTGGAAATTCTTCCACTCCCCCCTCCTACCACCAAGCTTGCCCCTATAATGCCATTTTTATCTTGCTGTGTCCGCCTATAAATTTGCCAGCCTCCTCCCACTGTCACCACCTACCACAGTGCCAGCTCTACACTCACCGTTCACCTCCAACTACTACATCTGCCACCCCCAAGGTTCTCAGCACCCACCATTGTACTTGCCACCCCCAATCCCCCCACCAATTCTCACCATTTACCATTGTTTCTGGCATCACCACAACCCCCCTTTTGTCACATGCCCTTATCTTCTGCCAACACAGTCTTCTCTCTTGCCTGTCCTTGGCTTTTTGTCATCTCCAAAACATTCATGCTATGCTCCTGTGTGAGACCAACCTGTGTTCAGGAGAGCCCAGGGACCTGACATCAACCTCTACAAGCCTCATCTTGCCCCTTCCCTACTTACATACGCCCCAATCCTTTGGCCACCCCTCCACTGACATTACCCCCTAAACCATGCACATGCGCTAATCCCATGTAGTATCCAAAGTCTTGACCTTTCTAACACAGACATACTTTTGCTAGTCTCTAATGATAAAACACAGACTGGAGAGTTTTCACTATCAATAAAAACTAGACCTGACTGAGGAGGTGAGGAGGATTCTGGGAGTGTTACATGACATCACTTTCTGTGCCTTTTGAGATGTAATACTAACATGCATTATAATTTAGGATTATGGGCCTGTTGAGAAGTCATCCAATCAGCACGTGAGACTCGGCAGCCATACCAGCATGTCGGAGAGGAACAGAAGTCAAAGCCCCATCATAGAACCTCTATCATGGAACCTCCGCCCCCGTCCCTGAGACCTGAGAGAAACAAGAAGATTCTAGAGGTCACCAACAAGATCATTGAGCTGCTGACGGGAGAGGTGAGCTGGGAATTCTGGGACATGATCCAGGAACAGAAGGGATGTGTCTGGATGGTGACTGTATCATTGTGTGTGTCAGGTTCCTATAAGATGTCAGGATGTCTCTGTCTATTTCTCCATGGAGGAGTGGGAGTATCTAGGAGGACACAAGGATCTCTATGAGGACATCATGGTGGATGATGAAGAGACCTATAAAGCAATGGGTAAGTGGTGGCCATATATGTGAATAAGACAACATCCCCCCCCCCTGCCCCCCTTCCTTTTCTTCTATGGCTTTTCATATTTATGATCTATCAAGAAGTTGTGGGTTGAAATTAGTACTGGACTTGACACTAGGATTGCCACCTGTCCAGGATTCACCCGGACAGTTCGGGTTTTGAATGCTGTGTCCGGGTTTCATGGCAGCAGAAACCCGAACACAAGATGTCAGGCAGACTGGGGCAACCAAAATTAAGATAGGGGCTATTGGCTCTGCGCTAAAAATAGTATTAACTGTGATATTTACATATGAATAAGCCAACGACTCATTCTCCCAAAAAAATATCTGTTCGTCGCTAGAGTGTTCGGGTTTTGGTGAAAGAAAAGGTGGCAACCCTACTTGACACCTCTACTCTCTATGCCAGGGGTAGCCAAACTCCGGCCCTCCAGCTGTGGTGAAACTACAAATCCCATGATGCATCTCTCTCCAGGAGTCGTGGCTGTGAGAATCTTGCAATGCCTCATTGGATTTGTAGTTTCACCACAGCTGGAGGGCCGGAGTTTGGCTACCCCTGCTCTATGCAATTGTATTGGATCTATTGAAGAGTTCCCGAATCTGCACACCTTCTGTGTCCATTATCAGGGTCTCAACAGTAGAAAGTTTTCCCGGCACGCTCACCAGCCAGCATGTAAAAAAAAAACTTGCCTCACCACTAAGGTTAACAACAGAGGTTTGTATAGACGTCTTTATCAGGGTCTCCCACCACCCTTGCTAGATGTTTTATATTTTGGGAAAGGTAGCGGAAGAAGGTGGATCACACAAAGGTGGGCAGAAATGCTCAAAGTGTCCAGGTTGACGGGAACAGAATAGAGAATTATGGCAGGGGGACCTAACTGTTAGGAATATCCAAGAGATATAAGAAGTCAGGGGCTGACTCCGCCCACAAGGCTCAACCTTGGGGGGGCTCAGTTTTTGCTGGACTGATCCTTTTAGTAGAGGTCAGCATTCCATTTATCCCTATAATATATAAGCTATGTGGGCCTTAGTTTAGCTACACAAGACTACACTACTATTATCCCCCCTTCAGTCTATCATGAATGCAGCTGCCAGACTCATTCACCTTACCAACCGCTCAGTGTCTGCATCCCCCCTCTGTTAATCCCTACACTGGCTTCCATCC